GTCCAGCACGAGCGACGGAGAGGCGGCCATGTTAGTTCGAACTGTCACTGGGGGAGGCGCTGTTCATTAGGTCTGTTCGATTTGACCAGAAAGTTCTGAACTAGTTCTGCCTGAGTTCAGAGGAGCGCAGGAGTCGTGCAGCGGCGGCGCAGAACCACTGCAGCCGCCGTGCTAGGACTGGCGCTGGGATCGGTTTTCCGAGCGGAAGCGGAGGGTGTCGTCTGCATCCGTTGGCTCTTGTTTCTCCACGCCACGTTGTAGGCTACATTTAATTAGTCGTGGTTTGATGAGACTATTCGTGTTTCCTTAGTTTTAAAGTATAATAACAGAATCTTTTCTGTGAATATTTTTTATCCGAGTGTACTAAAAAGTTTCTGCACGACATCTGTTTCTGTCTGTATTTTTAACGGCCGTTCAGTTCCTGTCATTTCCATAAGCGTTCGTGTGCTTCACATTCATTTAGCAATAGTAGATTTATTTCAAGTCTCTCAAGTTTCGCATTTCGACGATAGGTTTGCGGCATCAGGATGATTTTGCGTTGGGAGTTACTGGCGGCAGCGCGCGGTCGGTAGCGGTCACCTCGAAGACGAAGACCTGACAAGAGCGTTTTGGCGTCAAGCTGAAGTGTTTATTCTGATTCTCAAGAAAGACCTGCGTGAAACTACCAAGCCAATGCCGATTCTCGGCATTTTTCCTTAACCCATTAGTGGGCGTCTACAAATACCAGTGGACAAAGCATGCAGTATTATGCTCAGCTATGGGGCATGTGAGGGCCAATGTACTAAATCCCAGACCTCTGCAATGTATCGGAGTCGTCAGTATGCATCCAAGAGCAACTGAAAGCGGGTACTATCAAGAGTGCAATACCTATCCCGTGTCTGTAAGGAAGAATATCAACATTTTGGATCCCCACATAGCATCAGAAAGAAACAAGTTACGGGAGCCAATATTTCAACACCTACCACAGGGATCCAAACCTACACGAGCAGGAGCCTGAAACGCTTCCAGAATAGCATAATCAATTAAATTCCTACCCTCGGTTATGATCTCAATTCCGCGTCCACCACGGGTACTTTATTATCATAAATGAGAGGAAATGCAACCTCCGTATTGGCGTTATAGTTAAACATTGCAGGGACGTTTAAGCAGCTGCGAAAAATGGCACCACAAGGCTCGAGCAGAGACGGACAAGGAGTGTCGTCTGCTATCGCTGTCTGCTCTTGTCGTCTGCTTCTGCACGGACGCCGAACTGACTTCGGAGCTGCTGCAAGATTTTGAGGAACTGGGTCTGAACTTGTTCAGAACTGGGATGAATCGAACGCACCAGTGCAGCGGCCGTGTAACGTCCGGTTGAATCGAATGCACCAGTTCCTGCACTGCTGAACTAGTTCAGCCAGTTCAGGCGAATCAAACAGACCTACTGTTTCTTGTGTCCACAATGTTTAAACCTAATTTATTTGTCATTTGGTCCCTGTAGCTTCATAAAAACTACCTTCTTTGGACGGCTCCCCCAATCCAGCCTTTTATTTCGCTTCCACAAAGAAACATCTGAACGCTTTGGCCAATCACGAAACGGAAACCTCTGCAGACACCAGCCGCGCACGTTTAACACCACGAGAGGCCACCGTAGTTTGAAAAGTCTTTTTCAATGTTGAATTAAAATATGATGCCTTAATATTTTGGGGTTTACCCTTTGTTTTCCAATTCTGGCTAGCCAATAGGAAATCCAAATAACGTGAAAAAAGCAGTGGCTGAAATAGCATTGTATGGGCCCTAGAGCCCTGGAGTGGGGTGAGTGGAAATTCATGTTGTACTGTCCTTTTCTCACCCCACTATTTAGGTTAGGGCTAAAGATGTCATTGATGCCTTTAAAATAAATTAATTGAATATACTAATATGGGGATATTGACAAAGCTATGTTGAAGTGAGGCACATTGAATAGTTCTTACCCTTGGGTGATCTAACATTTTTACAGTGCGAACCCCAGGTCATTAGGGAGGCAGTCATACTTTACCCTTCCTGTGTGGTTAATGTCAACAGACCCTTTTGTTTCCACGTGTTAGTGTAACGACCTGTGGCCAGAACAAGCTGTAAGATGTGTAGTAAGGAGAATGGCGCCAGTAGTTATCGTGGAGCTTGCGCTTTTTGTCTGTACCTAGATGATCTGCACATTTTCACATGATGGAAGGTCCTCACAACCCGTCAGCACTTTTGTTTCTGTTTGCTGCTTGTGAAGTACCTTTAAAGGTTTAATTGCACAGCACTAGTATTATGCAAAACATTTTAAAACGGACAATTTAGATACAATTGCAACAAAACCCAGAGACCTCTCACTTGAATGTGTCTGCCAAGATATGTCTTCAAAAATATATTTGTATATTTTCAGGCCACCTTCTGCAGAAGTTCGTGGCAAGGGTGGAGCGTCTGTACAAGAAAGAGTCCTGCATGACCTACAATGTTCATCAATTGCTCCATCTTCAGAAGGCAGCGGAGCAGATGGGGCCTCTGTGGGCGGATTCAGCATTTGTGTTTGAAAGTGGTAACGGAAGAATAGTCAAGTCTGTAACCGCCGCTAAAGGAGTTCCAATGCAAATTGTGGAAAGAGTTGTTGTCCTTAAGGAACTTCGGCAGGTTCTGTCTTGCATTCCACTTCATGAGGCCACAAAAAAGCTTTGCCAAGTTATGCTGGGCTTCAAGAGGGTGGAGAAGTACTGGTACACAGATGGTGCTTGTATGCTGGGCTCTCCCACAGCTGTGGGACGGCTAACGTCAGAGGAAGAAGCTGCACTTGAAGTGGCTGGTATTCCCCTACCTGCCACTGTTCTCGAGTACAAGCGGTTTGTACTGGACAAGATGGTGTACAACAGCGACCAGTACTCGAGAACCAAGAAAAGTGACTCAAGTGTAATTCTGACTAAAACAGGGGAACATTTCAAGATAATGCGCATCTTGCAAGTGAACACTGGTAGTGAAACACAATCTGTGTTGTTGTGCAAAAAGATTGCAGAGGTCGAGGCTGATGTCTGGCTTCCAAGGCACATCAACGAGTGCTTTCTGTCTCGACAAGCGACACTGACCGCCTTCGACATTAAGGCTGTGGCCTGCGTGTGCATTTTTATTAACTTTGTACCCGAGGAGACCATTTATGTTTGTGACTTGTCAAATGTTGTAGAACGTGACTGAGCATTCTAAGCCGGCACATTACTACATATTGTAATTCTAGACGAAGTGCTGTTTAGGAATTCACCAAATGACAAAGTGCTAGTAGTTTTGAGTATGACTACTTGGGAAAGGAAGCTAGTGACATAAGTGAAAACATGCTTGTGAACTCATTTAGAGGTTTAGAAGATCATTTCAATTTTTCTTCATTTTAAAGGCAAATTAGCAGCATCTGTCGTGCATTTACTATCGATTCCTTTCTCCATTTGTTTTTTTGTGGGAACAAACGAGACAATGTAACGCAACAAAAGTGAAATTAGCTGGTTTCAACAGAGCACCTCAGCTCATGACCATTAAAAGGCCCCTGAAAAAAAAAAAATTTTAACAATCTGGTTGGGACACGCGTCTCAAAAAATTATTTTACGCAAAAAAAAAAAAATTAGAGCAATATTGACGGCGCGAGACGCGATTTAGTGGGCAGTCACATCCTTTCCACTTGTTTTCTCTCTGCATTTCGGGCGCATGGAGGAGAGGTTGATCGGCTTTGCCTTCACGACCGACTTGGTTATTCCGGGATGACCCGTGACGTCATGGACTTTGCTTACAGAATTTGAAATAAATTTCTCGCCATCAATATTGCTCTAAAAAATTAATTTGTTTGACTTGTTTTTTTTGTTTTTTTTGCACGCGTGTCCCAATTAGACTGTTTAAAACAAATATTTTTTTCTTTTCAGGGGCCCTTTAAGACTACATTAAAAACGATTGTGTTCAATATTAAATGTAAATAGTTTGTCAATGTGTATTATGGAATATGATGATATGTATTATGCAATATCTTAATTTGTCTAGTGTTTTAGTATTTTTAAGCTGCAGTGCCAATGCTGTCCTACTTTTTATTTAAATAAACTTTTGTATCATGCATTATTACTGTTAAATAGCTTTCCCATTTCCCTGCTGGATTAAGATTCCAAGTTCTTCTCGAAATTACTCTCAAAGTGTCTTAAAGAAACACAGGAAAAAAAATTATATGATATACGTTGGATATCTAGTGTCGAGACATTTAGTACCGATTTTCTTTATTTCCTTTCACTCTGAGGCAAACAAAACAGAGACCTGTGATGTCGTAGTGCTGCTGCAATCAAGATTGTCGTGACTATACTCACTCAAAGTTTCTTGAAATCAGTACCGTCTTTGCTGTGCCCAGATTGGTCATGAAAGTCGCATTGCAAGGATTAATTACTTCTATTATGAATATGTGCCTTAGATGCTCTACGACAGGGGTGGCCAATCTTCGGCTCGCCGCATGCGGCTCTTCATGGCCCAAGTAATCTCGTAATCTGAGGACTCCCAAATTAAAATAGTTGGGACGAAACACTAAGCTTGTTGATGAAAACATTACCATAAGCAACAGGCGGCAAACATGACATGAAATTCAATGTTGATCAGCTTTTCTAAGTAAGATCTGTTCAGAAGGGAACAAATTAGATGAAAACATCATCTCAATTTTAAAATTCGCTACTTTGCTGCCTTCCCACCTGCTAGGTTGAGGCAGCGTCAATTTTGTGTGGCAACTTGTGCGAAATTCCCCTGTACTTAACAGAAAATGAAGGTAGACATTGATCAGATATGAAACCAAAGCTCCGTGAAACATAGTTCCTGCATGTTTGCTAAACAATCAGTTATTGCAAAGGCCAAGAGAGAACAATATTCTCTCCTGTCACCCCCCCCCCCCCTTCCCAGTGCTGCTCTCGAAAAATTGACAATTTTGATTACGGCTTTTGGACAGTGTAAGTTTGGCGACACCTGCTCTACAACCTTAAAACAACCTCGTGTGTAACGACATGACTGGAAAACTGGCAGCAAACCTGAGTATCTTATTCTTGAGCAGCATTAAAAATAAAGGAAATTTGATGCTACAAATATCTTGTGGGGGCAGATTGGGCCATAGATGGGTGAGTAAAAATTTCGACAATAAATACCTTTTCTGTGTCTCTTTATAAAGATCAGTGAAATTCCCTTTCTTGTACTTCTAATATATCTTTTTGTTTTATGCAGACTACAATTGCAGACATTCTTAATGCGTGCTCCACTTTTATGTAGATATTTTTATTTCATTGTCCCTAATTTGCTGTAAATTTGTAAAAACCAGGTGTATTAAAACATTTCCGTTTTTCGCGAGTCGCCGGCCTTTTCGCTTCAGTTCTTCGCCGCGGTATCACGAACTGATAAACGGCCACAGCTTTCCCGCTTATCAGTAGAGTTACCGGGTGACCGCCATGACTATCTGGTTCACTGGCTTAGCGCACCGGGCGACCGCTTTGCTTTCCAGGAGTTCCGGTAATGCCCGGTATGACCGGAGCCACAGTCCGATACACCAGTTAGGGCAACCGCTATGAAGCTACCGGTCTCCAGACCAGACATGTACAAATTACTCAAAAAAGGTAGTCAAGTTAAGTTACTGAGTATCGACGCCAAAAGTAATTGGAGTAGAGTAGAAATTACGCATTCGTAATAGTAATTGAGTAAACTACTAACTACTGTAAAAAGTAGCGAGTTACTTTTAAGTTACTTTTGAAGTTACTTTTTTATATTTTTGTGGTAGCAAGATGAACCACAGTTTTGATCAATGAAAAACCCTGCGAGCCTAAAATAAATGCAGTCTATTTATGGCTCGCGTTTTCGCCAAAATACTAGTTTACTCGCTCGCAGAAGCAATTGACTTTCAAAGTTCTTGATAGGAGAGTTTTCCCCTTCTCCTTCTGAAGACGTCCCCAGCCCAGCTAAATAGACGTTCCACCGACGGGCTTGATGGAACGGCAGCGTTGAATTTGAGAAACAGGCTGTGCAGGGTCGGGTAAGCGAGTGTCGGCATCTTAGGTGTCCATGACGAAACTTGTGAGGTTTGCCTCGGGTAGAGGGTCTTTAATCACAAACTTTCCTCCTTTTTTTTTTTTTTTTCTCACTTGCAAGTTGAGATTGTTATGACTGGCCCCTCTTTATTCCGACGTCGTTCTGAGAGTACGCTGAGTGAGTGCACCAGACCGTCAAGGGTTCAAGTCTCGCGCCACGACGATGAGATCATCCGGACGACTGCGCGTCCCGTTCTAGTGCTAGTGCTACGCTACCGAAAAAAAAATTGTTTTGGTTTAACAGAAGATGAACCGAAGTATACTTCGCCGCTGACGTCGGGTCCATTAAAAGGATCTCCTAAGGGTAACTCGCAATCCTCGCCGGCGACTACAATATTCTAACGCGACTGAATCGTTTTTAACAAAGAGGAGGTCTCCCAGGCATGGATGGTCGGAAGGACGCGAAGGATTGCGTGAACAAGCATCGTCGCTGGAAGCGGGAACGTGCTCCCATAAACGGATTATCCGCACCAGGGTTTGTGCGCGGGGGAGTCCGGCTTTGCAAAGGCGCATGCGCTGACGACAAGGCGCCCAGCTGCGAGGTCATTCCAGTGGCGCCTCCCGTGGTGCCTACCGCTTGAGTCAGAACTCACTAAAGACAGACAGCACGAAAACAACAACTCTCAGAGTGCCCCCCCCCCCCTCCCCCGTCTTTCACGGTTGCAGCTGGAAACGCGGCGCCTGCGTGCATTACCGGATTAGGTCAATACCCGACCAAGGCTTGTTCAACATCTCTTCCTGCGTTCGTGCGTGCCGGTGTTATGAATTGGCTGCTCGTCGCCACCTTGGCCCAAGGACGCCTTCCCGAACAAGGGGGCCCCTTGTTCGGGAATGCCACTTCATCTGCCGGCGTCTTATTCATTTCTGCGCTCAAACTTTTGTGATGGGCAAAATTAGCACTATATAATTTCGAAAGTAGTTAGTAATTTGAGTAGAAGTTACCCGAAAAAAGTAGTTAAATCAAACTACTAATTACCCAAATCAAGTTGTAATTGAAAGTTACCAAGTTACTCGAAAAAGTAGTTAAACTACAGTAGTTTGAGTAGAGTAGTTGAACTACGTCCAAGTCTGCTCCAGACTAACTAAACCGGTCCCGGTAAAACACTCCGGGCCGTGTCTATGGCGTCACCGGGACTCCGGACAACGGACACCGGTCCCGGTACAGCTACTCCGGGCCGCCGCTATAATGCTACCGGGCCTCCGGTCTAAACATACCGGACCGGTATGATCCGGTATAACTTCATATGGGTTTTTCCAGTAGGGACAAGTGAGAAAATCTGGCGATTTTCAGTGCCTTATTGAAACCATACTGAGCAAGTATGCAAAACAGGCCCAACAAGCCGGGGAGATCTTTGGTGCCAATGACCCGAAGGACAGTCGCAGAATATTTGGCAACGAGTTCCCAGGATGCTTGTTCGAACAAGTGAAAAGCACGTACCAGCGAGAACAGTTCGCCATTGGCAGCCTGGCTTACGTGAAACCTGAGGAACACTCTCTGGCAAATCCTCAAAGTTTGTCTTTTCAATACGTGCCCATTGGCAAGGTGATCAAGAACCTGCTTCAAGTACCTGAGCTGTCAAAACATCGCCTACAGGTGACTGAACAAGATACGACCGGGCCGCAAATACCGCGGTGCTTCCGCGATGGCAAGGCAATCAAAGAAGTGCAGACTGGTATCCACAATGAACCTGTGCATATGCGGCACATTCTGCTGTATACGGACGAGCTGGGTATCACGAATCCCATAGGGGCAAAGCAGAAGAGACACAAGCTACTTGTCGTCTACTTTTTGGTGCTTAACCTGCACCCACGCTATCGGCCGGAGCTCAAGGACATCCACCTCACCTTGATGGCGAAATACCAGGACGTTGAGCGGGAGGGCCTAGACAAATTGTTACAGCCCCTCCTTCATGACCTGAACGAGCTCAACAACAATGGGCTTCAGGTCCAAATGCAGGCAAGCATCGTCACCGTGAATGTAGCGGTTGTAGGAGTTTGCGGTGATAATCTCTCCTTAAACATACTTGGTGAGTTTTCCTGCTGCCTTAGCAGTGGCAGGGTCTGCCGCATTTGCATGGCCCTCAAGCCAAAGCTGCCAGACCTTACGAGAGAGGGACTGTGTGCGTTAAGGAGTGCAGCCACACACAAAGAACATCTGACAGCAATCGCAGTCAACCCAGCACTCAAGAAGATGTATGGTGTCACAGGACCTTCTCCTATGCTGGCACTGGGACACTTCGACATCACCAAGCAGCTCATGCCTGATCTGATGTACGACCTCTTTGAAGGAGGAGTTGCACTTGTGTTGCATTACGTCCTTCAAGGCCTTGTCTCCGAAGGAACGCTTGAATTGGCAGATTTCAAGAAGGTAGCTGCCTTCAAGGTGGGTTTTCATGACAAAAAAAAAACAAGCCCGAAGACTTGGACCCTAACGTTGCGAAGGACCATCGTGCCTTAAAGGGCACCGCCTCGCAAAAGTGGTGCCTTTTCCGGCTACTGCCCCAGATGCTTGCATCCAACATTCCCGAGGGCAACCCACACTGGGATCTGTACCTGAGGTATCGCGAGATTGTCGACATGGTCCTAGCAACCGAAGTTCCAGCTGGATTTCTACCGTACCTGGAAGACCAAATTCAAGATTTTTTTCGCGCCTACCATGACCTGTACCCATCCGCCAGCGTAACTGCCAAACTGCACTACATGGTGTACTACCCTCGTATTTTCTCGGAGTTTGGACCCCTCCGGCAGTTCTGGCGCATGAGGTTTGAGGAAAAACACCAGTACTTCAAAAGCATGGCCTCAAAAGTGAAGAACTTCCGGAACATATGCAAAACGCTAACAATGCGCCATCAGCTTCTGGAAAGCTACCGACACCAGACCTATGTCCTCGACAAGCCTCTCTCTGCCCTGGGATCAAGAAAAGTAGACCCTGGCACGCTGCCCCCTTGCGTACAGAGCTTGGCAAGCGAAGGTTAAGTTTGGGAGGCCAAATCCATCAGCACCAGCACGGGCGACTACCGCGGGGATGCCATACTCGTCATGGACAAGAAAACCAGTCTGAGCTTTGCTCAAGTGACTGCCGTGTACATAATTGATGGGGACCCACTCCTTCTTCTGGAAGCGCTCCAGGTGGAGGCTTTCCGCAGGCACAAGTACAGCTTCAAGGTGCACCGGACGGGCAACTTCTACCTTAGGAAGCCAGGAGAAGAAGTGTGCTCTCAACGCCTTGACTTGTACTTGGATGGTGAACTGGTCCCAAAGTGGGATCTTTTCTTTTATCCATGAATGGTGAGGCCAAAGGACTAAGTGTGTGAAACATTTTCGTTGTGCCAAGATGAACTTCCTTACTTTTATTTGTCAGTGTCGCATGTTGAGCGTTACATGAGCGCCTAAAAGGAGAACGGTGCTGGGATAATCTGTAGGGATTTTCCTTGTCCCTACCATGCTTAATTAGCCGTGGGACTATGCATATAATAAAGTAATGTGTTGTTGTACTTTAATTTAAAAGTACACTGTATTTAAGCACCTTTGTTGAGGTACATTGCCCCCAATGTACTTACTACTTTACTTGAAGTACATAACCTCTCAACCACGTTGCACTTGACTTTAAGAACTAATTTTATGTTCTTATCCAACACTAAGTGTGTTTGTGTTGCTACTGTGTGATCGACATTCAAGTCCCCAGGCTGGCAGTCATACTGCACTGGCTAAACTTCTCGTCTAAAGTGGAGACATTCGGTACATACTTTCGATAGACTCACTTTCTTCTGTTTGAGCTCCCATACGCTATCTCAGGTTGGAATATTTTTCTTTTTTCATCACAAATACTGTACCTCGACCCAAATATGGTAGTTCAAAATGGCTAGTCTAGGAGTAAACTCAAATCGCTTACACACAGCTTCTTGGTGGCACTTTGCATATATCCCTGCATCCAGCTAAAGTGCCACCGAAGCTAACCGACCATACAATTCAATCGGAAAACCTGTGAAACCACAAACTTGGTGACGCCCCCCTTGTTTGCACATATGCTGTAGGCCTTTGTTTCTGTCTAAAACTGCTTCTCGACTATTACTTTCATTGTTGGCTTTAGTAACAATAGCGTGCATTAATTAAGCTTAATTCCTGGTTAGCTTCCATTTAGAATAGAAGAGACAGAGCGCATGATTGTATCCACTGTCACCTATTTGATAGTGATTTACTAAAATTTCTAAAGTAAATTAATTCGCGCAGAGGAACATATGGCTATTGCTGGTTGGTCAGCCACTCAAATGACGTGACGGGTCCCTGCTTTGGGTGGGCAATTTAGCCAGTGCAGTACGTCTGGTTTCCTGGGGGTCTTTAGTGTGCATCACGCAGTAGTGATACACAAAAGTGTGCCAGTACGCGATGCTCATCCAGATCTAAACGGGGAGGGGTTGCTATTGAACCCAGGGTGCCTGGCTTCTGCAGCGCGAAATTTCGTTCCATGTTCTCTAAGTTAAAACGCCCTAATCTAGTCACGCCTGCACAAGAGAAAACAGCACACACACACCTGTAGTCTGTGCCCGACAAGGTCTGCGGTACCGTATACACAAACTCAACTCTCCTACGTCACGCCGCGGTGGTGGCGCGCCGGACGCACTTCCGGCCTGGGGCGGTGGGCAAAAGTCGCCGTGTCAGACATGCATTCCCGTGTTCCTTTGGAAGAAACTAGACAAAAAACCTGCCTCCTCTTCAAAATGCTGCAATGGGGGCCATACCAAGAGAGTCTGGAAAGGTTTTAAGATCAGTTTTCATGTGTTTTTGCCCCCTCCGTTCGTCCGAGAACGTGGATAGTAGCAGTGAAAAGGGCAAACCAGACGCTGTCGAACTACGATTGCGTGTGCGGGCCACACTTTGGGGTCGCCAGATGTATTTGCTTGGTTCCGACATGAACGAGAGAAAACTCCCAAGTTGTCCGGACCACCCACAGGTTCAGTGCGTCTTCAAATTCACACGGCCGCCTCATGGTTCAAACTTTCGTCTGCTCTTTCAAAGTTGTCTGCTTTTTGTCGTCTGCTCATTCAAACAAAAGCGGCCCGTAGACCAAACTTTGGCCCGGTGATTGCAATAAAAAGTAATTGCAGGCCTCAAACGACTTAAGTAGGCTCGGCGTAAACAGTAGATAAAAGGTGTTAATTATTGGTACCCGTGGCCATCACCGACATGTTACGCTTGGTCTGTTACCGCTTCCGATTTTCAGTATCAACGTCGATCATCGCCGCTACCTTCTACACTTTTGCAGCACGAGCGATGTCGCGACCGAAAATAGCTACAAGCATCTCATCATGGTTTTGGCGTCCATTCTGCAGCGTTCATGCGAATGAATCGCCGCACGTCAAATAATTTATGGAAAGTTTAGCGGCGTAACGAGCCTTGATTATTTCGCTCAGGCGATTAAAGTGGTAAGACATTGCGATGAGGACGTAGAATCGACAACTCCAACGCGAAAAAAAGTATGCAGACTCACACAGACGCCGACGTGACATTAGAATGGTTTGTTGACACGGGATGCGGTGCTTCTTGCCCGTACTCCATTGTGCATGCGTTCGAACTGTCGTCTGCTCTTTCAAACTTGTCTGCTTTTTGTCGTCAGCGCGTTCAAACAACAGCGGCCCGTAAACCAAATGTTGACCCGGTTATTGCGATAAGAACTAAGTGCAGGCCTCAAAACGCTTTTGAAGGTTGGTTGGGGTAAGTCGGCTAAGTGTAAACAGATACAAGAAGTTGTTGCTCATTGTTACCAGTGGCCATCACCGACTTGTAATGCTCGATTCTACTTGCGGTTTTCAGTATCGATGTCCACCATCCCAGCTACGGTCCACGCTTTCGCAGTCCGAGCGACGTCGCGACGGAAAATAGCGAGCAGAATCTCATCGTGGGAGTCGGGCTTTAGCGCCCCTTCTGCGGCATCCACGTGAAATGAATCGCCGCACATCACATTATTCACGCAAAGTTTTGCCTCGATAGGTTTGCTGAAGCCGCTCAAGTAGTCAGACATTGTTAGGAGGACGTAGAATCAACAATTCCAACGCGAAAAAGAGTACGGCGACTCCCATCGACGCCGACAACAACGCAATTCAATGGTTTGTTTATGGGCGACGGCGGGCTTCTTGCCCACCATCTACCGCGCATGCGCGCCGCCGGTGGCGTCCGCTAGGGGCGCTCCGGTTTGTTTGTAAACATGAGTTGGTGTATACGTACGCACGCTAAAGACACATGATACAGTAATACGAGATAATTTCACGGTGAGCTAGCGGCAGGTCTTTACAGCAGCAGTCGATTAACTTAGTTTTAAATACTATAAATACACCCTATACATTTTCCTCGGTTTTTCGGGAAGAGGAGCTCTCCATGGCGCCTTCTTGGACTTGTGGGCGAAGAGTGAAGGCACGGAATTCCACACTAGATTATGTTTGCCACCGTTCCCACATTTTCCAGAGGAATGATCCTCGTCAAACTTATCCTACAAACATTGCAATTTGTGTTCATTCATTTCTCTGAACTTTAACATTAATTATCGCAATAATATAACTTACCTCGCACAGCCGAGTACGAGAGGCAGGAGCAAAGCCCTTTCTGCTGACCCGCGACAACCACAAACGTCATAGTTTTCGGTTTTTCTCTTCCTTCGGGATACGAAAAAGTCATTTTCCTGCCTCGTACCGGTTGCATCACCCAGTGGTGGAACTGACAAGTGGCGATTTGGAGCAGCTCTTGTAGCAGGGAACAATGCATTTTGGAGCAGACTCCCACTTTTGGAACAGGCAATCCTGATCTTTTATCTCAAAAACTTTCATATAATCTCTTTAAAAGTTTGTGGCATGGACATCTGTGACCAAATGAAGGAATGTTACGGATACGCATCATAATTAGGAAGTCGACTTTGAAGGTGATTTTTCTCTTTCTCTAATTTCTGCCAAAATTAAATACTGAGGGTGCGGTTCTTGAAATAGTATTCCCAAGAAGCATGCGGTGGAACTGTTAGCATGCCAGATGGTGCTTGAAAAACTGACCAGCGTGGCAAAGAAAAAGAGGCCTGCGATGGGGCCGAGTGCCAAATGCTGGATCTGTGACATAGCACGGCTGCGTTCGCGCATCACATCGGTGGCCACGAGCAGTGACGCTGGGCTCACGAGGCGGATGCTCCGCTGGCCTGACTGGCTGGCTGCTCGATGTTCAATCTGTGCATATGATGCCGTTCTTTTGATATGATAAATGTTCTGCTTTCTATTTCCCTGTTGCCGGCCATGACGTTTTCACTCTGCGACCCGCAGAATAGAACATGGTGTCAAAAGTGAAGCTGCTTTCCAATAGGCTGTAAGAGGAAGTGGTCAACAACAGCAATGCCTCAAACTCCTGATTTGCCCAAGGCTGACAGCGTCGAAACATTCGACCACAGCCAAGCTTCAAGTACACCGCTGAGAACGAAGCCCGAGACCATGGCATCCTTCCAGGTTACACAGCCGGAGCCATTTGCTTTTGCAACTCCAAATGACTGGACAACCTGGAAGAAAAGATTATTTTGCTACCGAACGGCATCGGTGCTGCACGAAAGACCTGAAGCAAACCAAGTCAACGCAATGGTGTACCTAATGGGCACCCAAGCCGAAGAGGTGTTCAACACATTCACACTCAGCGACGCTGAAGAGAAGAACTTCGAGGTGGTCCTGAGCAAGTTCGACGCATACTTCATTCCCTGTCGGAACATTATCTTAGAAAGGGCGCGCTTCAACACCCGGATTCAGCAGGACGGTGAGTTGGTTGAAGACTTCATCACGTCATTGCATGCACTGGCAGACACCTGCAATAACGGGGTCCTTCGAGAAGAACTCATCCGAGATAAACTCGTCGTGGCCTTAAAGATCCCTATTGAAAAAGGCCAATATGAACTCGGCTTATTGGAAATATTGTATTCCAATAAAGTTGATGGAAACCAATAAAAACTTATTGTTATC